CACACACTCAATGCCGCTGCTCTCTGTCTTACTTAGGACGGACGCACACACTCAATGCTGCTGCTCTCTGTCTTACTTAGGACGGACGCACACACTCAATGCCGCTGCTCTCTGTCTTACTTAGGAGGCCTGTATTTGTTCTGAGCTTTGAAAGGACAAATGATGGGTAGAGAAGCTGCTTTAGGCCACAAAATGCCTCCAACTCCATCAACTGAAGGTCTGAAGAGAGACGCGCTGATGAAAGGTGAAACATTCCAGAACTCTGGCTAATGGGTTCCGACCGCCGTGAACCCAGTGCTGTTAGCCAACAAGGGCACCACAGGGACTAACATGGATTGTGTACGTTTTATGTCACGGGGTTGGAAGGTAGAAAACGCACATTAAAGTGGAACGCAGGTTCTTACTAGGGGGGAATAACAAGTTCAGATACGCTCTTTTGTACTCGGTATTACGGCATGCACACACACAGAAGTGTGGCAACAGGGAAGAGAAGGTATATGAAGGGGCACAGAAGAGAAACCAGGGTCCAGTTTGTTTCCCACCGGCCAAAAGTAAAAAAACTTCAACATAACCGAGAAGGCCAGCTGGACTGGGAGTAACGGAGCATGTGATCAAACTGGACTCTCTGAATGTGGCTGGCAATGAAGGCTGACTGAGAAGTCAAGGACAATGGCACTGGGTTTTGATTCTACTGACTTTGTGGGAGCCTGGTTTGTTTGGATGCTCACTTTTATAGACCTGGATGGAGGGGGAAGGACCTTGGACTTCCCACAGGGCAGGGAACCCTGACTGCTCTTAGGACTAGAGAGGGAGGAGGAGGTGGGGAGGGGGAGCAAAAAGGGAGGCGGGGAGGAGGTGGAAATTTTTAATAAATAAATAAAAAAAAACCTCACGCGAACAGAGTTAAAGGTGACAAAGGACTGTGTTTCCTTAGGGCCGGAGCGCTGAGACCTCTGAGCTCAGCACACCAGCACCTCCCTCTCCCCGTAGATCCCAACAGTGCAACTGACGTGCTCACCTAGATTTCATTTATAAGAAGACAATTCTTTAGGATAAACAAACCAGCTTGTATTTTTACTTAATTTTTAAACTTTGATTCATTTTCTAACCTAGTTGTAGATTATATTCCTTGAGCAGTACATCTTCAAAGATAACAGAATTATAGACACTTATGCTGCCCCTCTCTCTTTCCTGGTAACCCCACACCCACGCAGTCTCCCTTCTTCAGTTCCCCTGCTTCCCACACCTGATAAAACCCCAGGTGCGTGCTTCCTTTATCTCTGACAACTGCACTAGCTGTCTGGGCTCACTCCAGCTGATATTCATTTTGTTTGTTGGTGATATGGTCTCACGTTATAGCTCAGACTAGCCTCTAACTAAGTATGGTACAGACTGACCTCGATGTAGTGGCCAATCCAATAGGAGCAGATGGCCCAGATGTCTGAGTTCTACATCCAGAACAGATTCAAGACTGCTGCCTGAGATGATCAAGCCTCACAGGATACTCTAGTCAGGACTTGATCATAATTCTAAATTTTCTTTAGGTCCCCATAAGATTATCAGCACCCCCAACCAGCAGGAAGTAGCCTGGAAAACTATGCCCACATTCCCAAAAAATGGACTACGGATATTTTCCTTTGTTTAGAGTGTGGGTAACAAGTAGTTATGGCTAATGGTGAGGAGAAAAACTAAACAGAGGATATTAGATTCAGAGTTCTTGTTTTTTTTTTTTTTAAAGGAAGAGGAAGTGCTGTGGGACAATTCTGTATTCTGTCACTTATATTTTAAATAAACGCTGATTGGCCAGTAGCCAGGCAGGAAGTATAGGCAGGACAACCAGACAGAAAGTAGAGGTAGGGTCTATGAGAACAGGAGAATTCTGGGAAGAAGGAATCCCATTCCTCTGCAGTTGTGAGCCCACCACAGAAGAAGCAAGCTGTGACTGTCTTGCTGAAAAAAGTGATGGCGGGAACCAGGTAGGACAGAAAACCCCACAACAGTTTAACAGAAGAACAAAACTGAAATGGAAGCTGACAAGGAGGCAAACTGTATGGAAGACAATTCCTAGGCCTCCTTTTGCTTTCTCACTATTAAAATAAAAAGGGTGAAAGTTGTCCAATCACACAACCCCAAAAGTTCTCATAGATCTAAGTCTTAAATTATAGATAATGCTTAAATTAACAGTTTGACAGTATCTCATAGTTTTGAACCACTAAGTAAAAGATAAAAGATCAGTTTCTATATAAACTTTGTTTTAGACCTCACTGACTACAGTTCACTCTAAAATCTAGCTGATGACAACCATGCTGCTATGGCCTGAATGCTGTGCCACCTTAAATTCATTTTGAAATCCTCACCCCAAGAACATGGCAGGACAGAGTTGCCTCTGATGGTGTTTGGTCTCAAGTCCCCATAAAAGGATTAGTTCCCTTCTGAAAGAGGCCTGAGACCCCTTTCCCTTCCTACTGGGTAAGGGTGCAGCAAGAAAGCCACCTGTGAGCCAAAGGCAGGGCCACACCAGACGACGAGTCTGCTGATACCTCCACCTCAGAGCTAAGGCTCTAGAGACCTGAGACACAAACTATTTATCTACGGTACTTGTTCTAGCAGCCTCTGAAGACAAAGACATAATCTCAAAACACAAAACCCACGAGAACAGGGGTAATTTTCTATTATATTTTACAGTAAAAAAGAACAGACACAATGACATTATTCTCCAGTAACGCCCATGGAAGCCTGGCTCTGTTCTAAACTCTGAACATGGCCAACTTCCTATCATCTCCCCTTCAATATTCCATCCTTGCTTCAAGCTGGACATTGGTTTAAACAGAAGATCCCCTGCACGCTTTACCCTACCTGGTCCCAGTCCCCACTATGCTGCTGCAGAACCGCCCTCTGTGACAGCTGGGCTCCAGCCACCCAGGGCTCCACTTGGCCATAAAAGACTCCTTACAAGATGGGAAATACTGACTTTAGTTTTCAAATTAATGAATTCATCTTCGAGACATGGTCTCTACACAGCGTTGGCTGCAACTGCATAGCAGGTCCTTCTGCTCTGCTTCCCCAGGCCCGGATGAAGGCCTGCACCACCACCCACACCCACACTTTCCCTCTAAGCTTAACTAACTTCCAGGCACTCCCACCACGCAGATGTTTTCAGTGCTCACAAGATAAAGGCATTGATAAGATCCATCTGACTGGCATTTAAAAGTTAGAGATGAGCTGGCTGGCTGTGAAGGCGTCAACATACATGTCACTGTAGAGCATGCCTCTTTTTAAGTATTAAATACAATGATAATGTCCCAAATATGTACTACTGATGTAATAATATCCATCAAAATATTGAACAATGTAACTGATTCACACATCTGAGCTGGAGATGAACATACTCTTACGGGCCTAAGCTAACAAATGCCGTGTGATCATGCTGGGCCGTCTGTCTAAAAATCTACTTAGGCCTTTTTTCCTGCTGCTGTGTTGTTTCCAGGTGAGCATTTTCATCCAGTTTCTTCAAAGATGGAATGACATTTCTAGACCTGGTAGATCCCTAAGAAATATATTATCTCAGGGTTTTATGGTCACTATGAGTTTCTAAGGAAACATTAAAGGAAACAAGAAAAAAGTAATTTAATATAGCCCTTTGGTGTCATGAGGGAGAATATAAATATTAGTTTTCTGGGAGAAGTAAAGAAAAATAATTGCGACAATTTGAATCCTATGTCCCCAAAGGACGGTGTGTTAAAAGACTGGCTGCCAGCCTACGGCACTACTGAAGGCGGTGGAATCTTTAAGTGGGGCCTAAAGCCAGGCATGCGGCACAGGCCGGGGCACAGTCCTGCTTAGCTGAAAATTCAGGCACAGAGCCGACTGTGAGTACAAGGCCAGCTTTTTTCTATATACCAAAACTCTGTCTCAAAAATAAAGCCAACAGCTGGGCACAGTGGCATATGCACTAGGCAGGCTGATCTCATGAGTTCCAAGCCAGCCTGGTCGATATAGCAAGTTCCAGGACAGCCAGGGCTACACAGTGAGCCCCTGTCTCAAAACAACAACAAAGCAGAACAAAGCCAAACCCACCACAGCGAAGGAAGGAACACAGTGTGTGTGTGTGGGTCTCGTAAGGAAGGAGGGTCACTCTGGCTGCCACAGAGGAGCAGTTTGGTTTGCTGCACTGTAGCTCCTGCTGGGATGCACCACCTTATTACTGAAACCTCGGCAACTGTGAGTCACAGCAGCCTCCTCATTTTAGAAAGCAGCTATCTCCAGTACACACTACAGTAACACACTGCCATCACACTAATTTTACGAGGGCACCCGGAAGCAAGTGCCGCTGCAGGACCTTCGTCAAGGCTTCAGAGGCTGCAAACAGCACACGGAAAGGAGCTGTTGCATGCGAGACTCACACTCACAGGGCTGAGCACACCTACTGCACTGCACTTGTAACTGACTCTCACGTTCAGGGTGGTCTTCCACATAAAACTCAGAAGACATGTCAGACACACGAACTGATCCTTGACACACAGGAAACTCAAGGGCTGAGGACACAGCTAGGCAGACCATGCACCCATCACGCTCAGCACTTGGATTCGATCCCGAGCACCCAAAGAAAACAAGCACACAACAAAACCAGCCTCTGTCTCCTAATGCTAGGCTTAGAGGCATGGGCCACTAAGCCTGGTAAAAGCTCCATTATTTAACGACTTACTAACGACTTAAAGTACTTGCTACCAACACCGACTCAAGATCAGAGCTGAACACAAGCATTTCTGACTCCCAGTTGTTATTTATGAAAGTACAAGACGGTATGGTTGATGATTTTCAGAAGAGAAAGGCTAAGTCTATGTTTCATGTACCTATAAACTCAAACTGATTTAAACAAAAGTCCTTCAAGCAACTGTCATGAAAAGTTATTAGAAACAAATACTTTCTATTGATTTTTTGTTTTAAGTGATTTTTTAAATATCCACAGAAAGCTTCCAGAAAGCAAAAAATAAATTTACCTTATTTTCTTCAAGAAATTTCAATTTGACAGAAACATCACTACGCATTTTATCGTATTTTTCCTTGTGTATTTGGAACAGATGCTGTGACTGCTCAATTTTTGGTAGAGTGCTTGCATCACGTGGTCCAAGATTCAGTTCTTCCAAATCAGTGCGATACGCATCATACTCGATCCTGAAAAGAAGAAAAGCTATGATGCACGCCAGAAAACACAGAGACAGTCTGGAGACGGGCTGGAAAACAGCGCTCGGCCTTATATGAACAGTAATACGTAAACATGGAAGCTGCACACACATACTTCATGTATTCGAAATCATTACTTCTCTAAAAATAAAGAGCTATTAACGTTCAAAAGGGGCTGGGGACCTCAGTACTAGAGTGCTTCTTTAGAACGTGTGAGACCCTGGCTTCATTCTCCAGCACTGTAAAATACATGCATGATACATGTGTGAGTACACAAAGCATGTACTCACAAGGAGCACACGGATAGGTGAGGAGCTGCTTCTTAATCTCATCGACTATTGCACCCCCAACCGACAAAATTTTCAACATTTAGCAACCACTTAAATTAAAAAAGTTACCCCAACAGATGCCAAACCAAGTTCAAAAGCAGTTATCAATCTTTACTACAAACTGGTTAATACTGATGAGACCAAGTGGGTGAGACCAGCCAAGTTCAGACGGCCCTAGCAGGATAGTAAGAGGAGTTACACTGAGGGTTATTGAGGCATGTCGTACATGCACTTTAAAACGTTCTAATAGCGATATGTAAATAATAATATTAATTTATTTTACCCTGCATGCAGAAAATACTACTGCTGCAACACGTAATGCATGCAGACGAGTGCTAACGAGCTACTTTACAGCCGGGGCTGGACACGGAGTCCTGGAAAGCCACTGTGTATGTCTCAGCACCTCACTCTAATCCACACAGGCCACCTTCCAGGGTTTAGCGGGCACACGTGAAAGTGCGACGCTAGACGATGTTTGTCACTGTGGCTGCAGACAGAGCACTCCGTCCTGGCTTCCGTGAGGGGCTTTACCCCATCAGCCTCACGCCATGGCCTCAGAAGCTGCCAGCACCTCTGTCAGCCCTGGGAAGTGCAGCACTGTATGGGGACAGGGACCGGCTCAGCTACCTGCAGTACTCAGTACTCAACGGAAAAGAAGCAAGTGACTTCTAATTTAGTTTTAAAACAAAACAAAACAAAAACAAAAACAAAACAGAATCAACAGAGTGATTCACATCTTCCAGTCCAAGAATGAAGAATACTTATTTATTTTTGGGTTTTGAGACAGATTCTCACTGTATAGCTCTGGCTATCTTGGAACTTACTATGTAGTCCGGGTTGGCCTTGAACTCTTGGGGAAAATACATTAATGTACGATATACATACATGTATGATGTACTAGATAATTATATGTACAGGAAGAAAGTGTACAAGGGGTAGTTTAAACAGAATATCAGCTTTGGGTGTTGATGGGAGAAGATTAAACCTTCCCAGGCTCTGCCTCCTAGATGTTAGGATTAAAGGCATGTGCTACCATACCCAGCCCAAGCCCAGTTTGTTTGTTTGTTTTTGCTTTGTTTCTAATTTTTCTCTAGACAGGATTTCTCTGGCTAGCACTGCTTATCCTGAAATTCATTCCCATAAACCAGGCTGGCCTGGAAGTCAGGTGTCTGTCTGTCTCTGTCTCCCAGGTGCTGGGATTAAAGGCATATGCATTATGCCCAGGGTTTAAGCCCAGTCTATTTTTAACTTGTACGAAATTTAACAAACGAGATCTTTCTGGGCCAGCGAGGATCATTTGCTTGTTCACTAATACACTGACCCATGCAATGGTTATCAGGTCAGCCCTTCTGTGTTTCAGGTGAGCTGATGACTTTATCCAAGAAGCTGGTACCCAACTACAACAGAAGCGGAACAATGCAGATCGTTATTACAGCAAGGGGGTTAACGAGATAGAGAAACACTTCTGAGAACAAAAACAGCATAGTCAGAATTTAAAGGATGCAAAAGCTTACTAGGTTGATGAAATTGGCAGAACGTCCCAAAAAGAGAATAGTGTGGGCACAGGGAGATATTTGTGAATTAATTGCGTGTATTAGAATCAAATATTAGTACACAATAAGGGACAAATTTCAGTCAAGACAGGAGGCAGCCCCGTGGTCCCTGACAAACAGTTCAGATATAAGCCGGCAGAAACAAGTCATAAAACACTCAGAACTGTGGTTTGACCCATTCCATCATTCAGGGTAGGAAACGGACTCTGAGGGTAGGAAGGGAGTAGGGACTGGAGCAGATAAGAAGATGGGTCGGTCCCACGACTGTGGACAGTAAGCCAAGAGTCTCAGAGCTAGAATAAAGACGATGGAGATGAAGACAGACATCAAAAGCCAAACTTGGGGACAAGTTACTTAAATCCAAACCACCTTTAATTTGTTATCATGTCTTCATTAGAACTAGCTCTTGTAGACCAGGCTAGCCTCAAACTCACAGAGATTCGCCTGCCTCTGCCTCCCGAGTGCTGGGATAAAATTAAAGGCGTGGCCACCATCGCGTTTGCATTTTTTTGTGTTCCCATTTATATCTATAACTGGGAACAACAATTAACACAAAATTGCATACACATGTGTATTGTATGATGTTGGGAAATAATTAAAACCTTTAGAAAGCTTAGTATTAGAAAAGAGGAGCTAGAAGCAAGCACACATACAAAACAGTAGACAGAGGCAAACTTAAACTAGTAGGATGTGACATCACCCTTCAAACCTCGGCCGCACTTTCTAAAAGTTATGATTAACGGAAATATAAGCAAAGTTACAATATTGACCTTGCACTCTTTAACTTTGACACTCATTTTGTAGGTGGAATTAAAGCAAAACTCCCTGATAACGTTTCTCGAAGGGCACCCAGCCTTCCAGAATTGCCAGCCTGGGCCTGTTACTCCGTGGAGAACAGGTGTCCATACTGAGAAGCCTTCCTGGTGCAGGCGGAGAGAAGCTGAATGGGCGGTAACCAGAGGGCTGGAAGCACCGTGCGCAATGACAGCTGGGGGGTTAACAGACCACCCAGCAAGGGCCTTAATTATCACTCTAATGCTGGTCAAATGAGTGGCCCTTGCCCTAAAGTTCAGTAAATTCTGGTTTTGACAAAGAAGAAACTCTGCTACTTAAAACTTTGTAGTTTGGTCTCTTTAATATTATTCCTTAGAAGTCAATGTCTCAGTGTTACAACTACCAAGTTCTCAGCTAACAAACAGAAATCAAACCCCCAACTAATTAAAAAGGATGATTATGAGACGATCTTCATTGGGTTGACAAGCACATGAATGAAGTTGTCTGAAGATTTCCCTTAAGTAACTATCCAAAGGTTCCAAATAAATCAATATACTGTATATACCGCGATCTGATATCACATGGTCTTTTAAGGGTCTCATTATAATACGTAAAAACTGTTCTTCATTATGAGGCACGAACATTTTTATGCTATTAAAAATTACATTATTATTGTTTTGTTGTGCTAGGGTTTGAATCAATAGCCTTGAGAGTGCTCGGCAAGACATGATCTCAGACCTACATATTCAGACCCAAATTTTAGACGAAGAGAAAGCTGACTGGGCATTTGAAACTGCAGGCGAGCAAGCATTGAAGCCCTGTGGACTTCCTCTGCTCCTATAAATCAAATGTGAGCGTTTCTGAGCTGAGCACCGCGGCACCTGCCTACACCCCAGCACTCGGGAGGCAGGAAGTTCAAACAAGAAACCTTATTTTCATAAGTACTAGAAAACCTGAAAAGACTGAAAATCAGCTTAAAGCGATTAAAGACAGACGAGTATGCACCGTGAATGATTACGAGAGGTAATTTAGAAAGACTAACACAGAAGTTTATAAATGAAGCTTTTATTCATATGCAAAATGAAAAATCAACCGCACGTGCTGGAGGGAGTTCCATCACAAGATATCTTACTGATACCCTTTCAATGTCAGTTTCAGTGCTAGTGAAGAATATTTGACAGGCAGATTGCTTCCAATTCCTTTTTCTCACCATCTGATTTTATCATGTTAATAAATTAAATTTTATGCTCAAAACTTAAATTTTCCACATATTTTGGGTTTTGACCTGTGTGAAGCATAGACAATATATTCTTAAGGATGAGCACCCAACTAGAGAACGGTGAGGTGCTCTGGGAGATCTCAAAGCACTGCCATTAAGGCAGGGCAAGAGGTCAAAAGGTCAAGTTCTACTCCTACAAGGTAAAACTCAGCACCATCTTCAACCATGCTATTAAACATAAGAGAAAGTCAGCATGCCAAGTGCTCGGAGAACACCACCAGAAAACCGGGCTGACGATAAGTTAGCATCAAGACACAGGGGGAGATATCTAGATGTGGAATTAAAGTATGAGTGTGGTACTCTTCAAAGAATTTTTTAGATATTTAAAAGTATTTATTACTAATAGCACAATCATGACAGGGATATTTGGAAAAATCTGTATTGTAAATAAAGTAAAGGGAAATATTTATGTCTAAGGCCAAACGTGAAAGCATTCGGCAGAGTTTGACCCTGGATCAATGGACATCAGGAATTAACACCATGAACGCTGCACCAACAGCACAGTTGCAGACATCAGGCAGATCCCAGGGTGCGACCCGGCAGGACACAGGAAGCGAAGACTGAGAGCTCCTCCGTCTCCTCATCTCCCAGCAGATCAGGTTAGGTCGTGACTAAGGCCCAAGTGGACATTCCCAGGGCAAAGCTGCTTCTGGGGCAGTGGCAGCACTGAGCGCCGTGGACACTGGACCCGTATGCTAATTAGATATTTATTTCTGAGGACCAACCTCTAACCTTCTAGTACATTCTTTTCTGGAAGTCGGAGAACATTACAAGTTCATCTATTACCCGACCTCAGGACTGAACAACACGAGGCTTATGCACCCAGCTCTTTGACCCCTGAGGCACCAGCCACCTTTCTTCCACAGCACACCCTCTATCTTCCCATATTGGACAGTACGTTTCTTTTGTTTGCAACCAAAACCATTAACTAAACACAAATCACCTGCACACGGACCACATAGAGGAAGTCGATACCCACCTGGCATTCTCATACTGCTTTATGGTCAGAAGTGTATCTTCAATGGTTTTATTCACCAACGTGTTCACACTAGCAATGAAAAAATTAATGGCCCCAAGAAGAGTCTCTCCATTTTTAGCCAGCAGCTTCTGGGTGTCTGCATTATAGCCAAATTCTTCCTAAAACAAAGACGACATCTTAACCATCCACCGAGAAGTCAGTGGATGTGATTTTGAAATCGCACACATATTACCAATGGGAAAATGTCTGACCCAGGATCTATTAACAGAAGCTTTACTTAGTCTGCTAATCCTTAAATTTATAAGAATCTAAATTATAGCTAGCTACATAATTACTAAAAGATTGGCAAACAAAAATTATCATTAACCCAGACACACAGCTAAATCTAAATAATTTTAAAAGCTAAATTATTTTGCACTATAAAGAACATTTTTGTTTCTGTTACGTTATAAGCACAGCTGTTCAGGAAAACGCAGCAGCTTATTAATCAGAGAAGTTAGAACTTTCAGGACCAAATTAGGTAACAACTGGTTAAAACTTTCAGACATAAAATAGATTGCATTCTTTTGTGTGTTTTGATTGAATTTCCTCAAAGTATAAGTACAGACAAGACACATTTCTTTGTAAACTTGGGAGCCAGGTGCCCGTCTTTCAAGTGCGGGTCCTATCTGGGCACAGCTGAGGGAGATTCACTCAACACCATCCTCAGCTCACCCTAGTCAACTCTACGTCAGCTCAGCCCGCACTCCAGACAGCGCTCTTCACGTGCAGCAGTCTGAGCTTCCCAGTCCACATGGATTACTCAAGATATCTGACCAAATAAAGTAATCCTGTTTCACTTGAATTCTCTATTCTGTTATAAAACACTTTAATTCTGGCTATAAAAAAAGGAATATAAAGTTAACTAGGAGATGAAAATTGAATGTAGGTCTACAGTTATAATTACATTTCCAGTTGATAAATTATTTAATAATTCACTGAGTATTAGGAGAGTAAAATTACACTATGCTTAAAAACATTTTCCATTTAAGAGAGGCTCATGTACTTTATTCCAGATTCAGTCTGGTGGACTGCAGATGTAGGCACATGTAAAAGAATATTGCACACATGCTAACAAAACTCAAGTGTCTGAAACAATAGAAGGATTTCAAGTTCAAGTCAATTGGAGATATTATAGGGCAAGACCCTCGCTGTCTCAAAAAAAAAACCCAAAAGGTATCAACCAATGGGGATGGCAATATGTCATGCTACTGTCACGAGGGCACCTCTGCAATGACAGGCAGGGCAGCGGGATGCTTCCGATATTTTCTACAAACTAAATCATGTATGAAGCACAAATAAACGTTACTGCATGTAAAACAGTAAAGGATACAACACTTTAACTTCTAGAAGGAGTTAAAATACTATAATTAAGTGTATTTATTTTCTCTGGCATTCATTAAAAGATAAAAGCCAAAATGAATTAAAAAAAATCAGCAAAGAGGAGGAAGAATACTATACAATAAAAACTATCTTGACAGCCAGGCATGATGGTGCACACCTTCAATCCCAGTTCTTGGGAGGCAGAGGAAGTCAGCTCTCTAGGAATCTGAGTCCAGCCTGGTTTACAGGGCTACACCTAGGAGAGCCAGGGCTCTAAAGAGAAACCTTGTCTCAGAAAAACAAATAAAACCCCAAACTACATTTATATAAACATAATAGCTAATAAAAAAAAAAGGAGCCCTTCTTACGGTTTAACAGAGCATGGGACAACACCAATAGGCATGGTGATGTGGGCGTGGACAGGGGACATGGGCGTGGAGAGGGCATGGAGAGGATGTGGTCAGCCAAGCACACACAAAGAACTACAGGCAACTGAGGAGTACCAAGAGAAGGAGGAGCAGCCTTCCCCAGGGGAAAGCACCCCGTAAGGTATCCAAAGCCAAACCGTCTGCCCCCAAAACAAACATGCAACAACATTAGACAGACAGAGCAGGTTGTAGTTCTGGATTTAGGAACACGAACACACACACACACCACCACCACCACCACCAACAATTAATGAAAACCGAGGCCATGAATTTGAAAGCTGTCAAGAAAGGGTCTATGGGGCAATTTGGAGGGAAGGAAGGAAGGGGAAAGTGATGTCATTTGAGACTACAGTCTCAAAATCCAAGAGGCAAAAAGAAAAGGAGAAAAAAAGAACAGAGAGACTAACGCAACAGAACAGATACCCTGGAGATAAATCCACATGCATACAACCTAAAGCAACAGAATAGATACCCTGGAAATAAATCCACATGCATACAACCTAAAGCAACAGAACAGATACCCTGGAAATAAATCCACATGCATACAACCTAAAGCAACAGAATAGATACCCTGGAAATAAATCCACATGCATACAACCTACAGAATAGATACCCTGGAAATAAATCCACATGCATACAACCTAAAGCAAACTGTTGTCCAATGGATCATCTAAAACTGTATTTCTGTATTTCTTATTACTGTAATATATCATTATCTGTACCAAAACTCCTATTCACGTTCCAGGACCAAGTGATTTTCTACTTTAAATGTTCTACTTCTATATGTTCGATGTCTGGCTGCGGAGGGTTTTTATTCTAGGCAAGACAAACAGCCAGACATCAAAAGAGTCATGAGATAGTAAGAGAAATTCTCAGGAATGTTTCACGCGGCTTGGGATGCAGTAGTAGAGTGACTGCCTAGCATGCTCCACCCCTGCGTTTGAGCTCCAGCAGCATGAAGACAGAGCACAGTAGTACACACATGTAAACCCCAGCATTCAGGAAGCAGAGGCAAGTCTGCTTTTGAATCAGAAGTTCAATGTCATCCTTGGTTGTGGAGGAACCTAAGATAGCCGGGGCTAAAGATTTTGTCTTAAAACAAATAAACAAAAAATGTTCTGCTCAATATTTATGGAAATAAATGCTAAAAATAAGACCGTCATTCTAAATGTCTGCCTTGGAAATGATAAACATACACTTTTATCTGAGTTGCACCCCAGTCCTAAATCTAATTTATCTTAATAATTTTAGTAAGCATATACCACAAGTCTACTCAAACACGTGTTCAACATATTTTGAGCCTGCCAAGAGGTTTTCACAGTAAATGACTAACTTACTCTTTATCCCACCTGTGGTGGTTGGAAAGAAAATGGTCCCTTAGGGAGTGGCATTAAGGAGGAAGTGTGTCACTGGCGGGCGGGCTTTGAGGTCTTTTGCTCGAGCTTCACTCAGTGTGACAGTCAGTGCACTTCCTGTTGCCTGCAAGATGTAGGACTGACTCTCAGCTCCTTCTCCAGCACCATGTCTGCCTACACGCCACCATGTCCCTCCAGGATGACACTGGACTGAACCCCTGAACTGGGAATGAGCCACTCCAATCAAATGTTTTCCTTTGTAAGAGTTGCTGTGGTCATGGTGTCTCTTCACAGCAATAGAATCCCTAAGATATCACCAAAGAATATTCATAGTTATGGTTCTTTGTAGGCTTGGGCAGGTTGTCAATCTTTTTCCTTCTTGCTCACCAAGAACCTCCAGCCGGCACCTATTCCAGGTATAAATTGATCCTTACACTGAGGTCACCTGGGTCTTCTTAAAGACTGTATGACACGGTAAAAGAAAGCCTCGAAATCCCATTTACATTGGGGTGTGGAGATATAGCTCACATTCAATGTCCAGCCCTAACAAACACAACAACGCCAATTTTGTTAAGAGTTTAGCAAATCACAAATGGAAAAATTACCTCTCAGGATACTTCTATTAGCCCCCTTACACCCACAATCCCTAAGAGTTATTTTAAATAATCTTACGTGGAGTTCTAGAGACTTCAAACTCAGGTCAGCGAATGCATCTCCAAGCTGCTTTTGGGTGTGCACCATCTGGAAGAGCTGTGTGGCCAGCGTCTGAGCCAGCTTCAGAATGTTTTCATACTTTTTCTTATTATCTCTTAATATATCGATCTGAGCTTCCAGTTCAAGGTCCACTGTCCTCGAGCCACGGCCTAGTTTCTCAGATATGATCTGCCGGGTACACTAAAATGAGAAGATGCGCTTTGTTTAGGGAGAGAAAGAGAGGAGCAAAGAACTGCAGCAATTCATGGACCAGCTCTGTACCGTGAGTGCGCTGTTAGCAGGCGGAACACTGCTCCCCTTCCCAGAACCTAGGAAGATATTTACAGGCCTGCCTAAAAACTACTACTAAGCTAAGGAAGTTCTGACACACTCCTAGCCAGTCTAATTAGCCAAGTGATTATCCACATAACCAGCTTCAGGTTTACTGCTGTTGGATACAGTATAAAGCCACAGGGATACTGACAGTTCTGTAGAACAGCACAACTGTAAATGGAGAGAAAACAGGACCGCCAAGATGGCCCTCTCCTACTGGTTACTTTTCTATCTCACCTTAAGTAATCTGTGTGTTTGGGAAGGGAGAACGAAAGGAAAGAGATGGGGGGGGGGACAGGAAGAAGATAAGAAAGCAGAAATTCCCCAAGGTCAGCATAGTATAAAACTGTTATTCTATTCTGCCTTGGAAACATACACTTTTTAAGAAGGTACCTAATTTCAGAGAATAAGAAAGTAAGCTTTCTGCTGGGTGGTGGCGGCGCATGCCTTTAATCCCAGGACTGGGGAGGCAGAGGCAGGCGGATTTCTGTGAGGCCAGCCTGGTCTACAGAGTGAGTTCCAGGACAGGCCTCAAAGCTTCAAAAAACCCTATCTTGAAAAATCAAAATCAAAAACAAAAAAAAAAAAATCAAGAAAAAAAAGAAACTAAGTTTTCTAGTAATAGTTTTTTAAGAAAATAAAAACTGTATTCCATCATTCAAAGAATAATAATGTAAGGTATCAATGTATTTTTCATCATTAAAAATAAAAAATACCACTGAGAGGTGGTGGTGCACACCTTTAATTCCAGCATTCAGCAGAGGCAGGTGGATCTCTGTGAGTTCAAGGTCAGCCTGGACTACAGAGCAAGTTCCAGGACAGGTTCCAGAGATGCACAGGAACTCTTGTTTCAAAAACTCAAATAGATAGATAGATAGATAGATACATACATACATACATACATACATAGACAGACAGACAGACAGACAGATAGACAGACAGATAGATGTGGTAGCACACAGGAAAGCTGGCAGATCAGGAGTTCAGATACCTGTGACTCTATCTTAAAAAAAACACACACACACAAAAGAGCAAATAAAACATCCCAGACAGCAGCAGCAGCAGCAACAAAAGGTGGTAGTAAATCATATAACCTTTAAATACGATGTTTATTTGCATTTTCCAAAGTTCCAGGAAGAGGTGCGTGGAGGAAGACCTGAGTGAGCAAGGGCACAGCTGCATCAAGGACCCCAGAGAAAATGGCAAAGCCTTTCCCCAGGAGGGAGGCTTAGAGGATGATACACCCTTCCTCCAGTCTGTGTGTGTGTATCAGAGTGTGTGCAGACCCTTCCTCCAGTCTGTGTGTGTGTATCTGAGAGTGTGCAGACCCTTCCGCCAGTCTGTGTGTGTGTATCTGAGAGTGTGCAGACCCTTCCTCCAGTCTGTGTGTGTGTATCTGAGTGTGTGCAGACCCTTCCTCTGGTCTGTGTGTGTGGATCTGAGAGTGTGCAGACCCTTCCTCCGGTCTGTGTGTGTGGATCTGAGAGTGTGCAGACCCTTCCTCCAGTCTGCGTGTGTGGATCTGAGAGTGTGCAGACCCTTCGTCCGGTCTGTGTGTGGTGGATCTGAGTGTGTGCAGACCTTTCCTCCGGTCTGTGTGTGTGGATCTGAGTGTGTGCAGACCCTTCCTCCAGTCTGTGTGTGTGGATCTGAGTGTGTGCAGAGAATGTCCACCAGAGACTTCCCACCCAGGATGTTCACAGTCTGAAAACTGTTCCCCTACAAAGACCGTTCCTACTGTGCTAAGTCAGCTACACCAGTGTCCTCGATTCTTGTTTATCTGCATGCATTAACCAAGTCTCCCTGCCTAATTCTATATAACAAACATGCTAAGCTCCTGGGGTACTGAAGTCCGTCATCAGAGAGCCCAGTCCACTCCATCCCAGCTTTTCTGTGTGTTTTTAAGTTTGATTTTTCTTTATTCTCTTAATCAGGTCAAATCCCTGGAGCCATGACAAAGGATGAGGCAACAGGATTAATTAACAGCAAGAAAAGGTACTTACTGCCATGCCTGACAATCTGAGTCTGATCCCTAGGACACTCATGGTGGAATAAGAGAACCACCTCCAGCAGGTTGTCCTCTGACCTCCACAGGTGCACTATGGCATGAGTGCACACACACACACACACACACACACACAGCCCCTCTAAATAAATAAAACTATTCCAGAGGACAAAAGTTTAACCGGAGACACTGACGTTAAGGAGAAAACACTGGTCACATGTGCTATCTGAGCCTGTGACGAGACAAGACAAGATGGCCCTCACTCCCGGAGTTCCCCTGGTAGAGACTCCCACTGTTTGCCAGTCAAAGCACACTGCCTTCCACTGCAACCCAGACATGGAAATCTGCCAAGAGGCAAGATTTGATAAGGAGAATGCTAATGGAAACTGCTTCAGAACTTAAAGAACGACTTTAAAAAAGTATTTCATTGATGTGGGATTCCTCTCTGTGTGCTGTGATTACCATTAAGAAATAAAGAAACTGCTTTAGACCTTAGGCAGGGAAAGCTAGGCTGAATGCTGGGAGAAAGAAGGGCAGAGTCAGTGAGAAGCCATGGAGCCTCCGCCAGAGATAGACATGCTGAAACTTTGCTAGTCGGCCACGACCTTGTGGTGCTGCACAGATTAATAGAAATGGGTTAAATTAATATGTAAGAGTTGGCCAATAAGAAGCTAGAGCTAATGGGCCAAGCAGTGATTTAAATAATATAGTTTCTGTGTGAGTATTTTGGGGCTAAGCAGCCAGAACAAACAAGAGGCTCCTTGTAACATTTCATATTTAGGAAAGATATCAACTATGAAAGCTTGAAACTGAGACTGCTTATGGGGATGAGGGCTCAAAGAAACAAACAAAAAAGATTTCAAACAGGACAAACAGCAACACCTGCCTCAAAGAGATGGGAAGGCAGGCAGGATGGACAGAGAGACTAAGACAAACACACGCCAGAAGGAACTTCCAGTTTAGATCTTGAATCCATCTTCTCAAATTAATTTCCTTACTTTCATGTGAAGAAATAGTTGAATATTAGGCTAATAAATAAAGGTTAATATCTTTAAAATAGGTTAATACCCTGTTTTCTTTCTTTCTTTCTTTCTATTAGTCTGCTTTTGTTTCTTTTCCTAGTCTATAATAGAGTTTTTCAAGAACAGAGCTCAGTGTGGTATGAAAATCACACAAGCGAAAGGACGGGAATTCCAAGCAGCTGGCGAATCACCCTCATGCAGCTACAGGATTACGTCAGGGGATTCCTGGGAAATTTGGTATGGATGGGATCCGTAGATAAAGCAGGTGAGGTGGCCGAGGGTCATGCCGTTCTGAAGACAAGGGGATCTGCTGACAAGGTTTAAAGTCACCATGGCCACACCACAAGAGGACTGGCAATGGCCACACCACAAGAGGACTGGCTGGTGACCGTAACCACAGTGAGCGCACATTAAGATATGAACCAGGGCTGGAGAGATGGGACAGAGGAGAAGAAACCAAGGGAGAATCCATAGGACTCAATGACTGATTAGGTATGCAGGATCAACACGGGGAAGGGACGAGGATTCCCACTTAACCAGTGGTTGTGCCGTGAGAACACAAAGGCGAGAATCATACATCCCTACCCTGCGAACACAGGCCGAGGACTCACACGGAACACCCTGCGTGAGAAGGACGGTGAATGTGGAATCCTTTTCACAGAGCACCACCAGGATTTCTCAGGCCGTGTGATGACGTGAACCAAACAGCTTTAGGAAAGATTCATGTAGCAGATTTCAAAGCACTGTTATCTTGCTAAGAAAACGTTGGGGACTGGAGAGAGGGTTTGGTAGTTAAGAACACTTACTGCTCTTGCAGAGGACCCAGGTTCAGTTCCCAACACCCACACCTCCAATCTCAGCAGATCTTGTGCCCTCTCCTGACAGGCACACGGCACACACAGTGCACATATTTACATGCAGGCAAAACACTCATACACAGAAATAAATAAATCTAAACAAAATTGGACAACTTGTTACAGCACACACAAGTTCAACCACCCATATGGCAAGAAAGGCTGTATTTTTATAGAGGGTTTCAGGTTGTATTTTAAATCTATTAATTGAAAGAATAATTTCACTCTGCTTTAGTCTTGAGAAGACATGGAAGCAAAAACTGCTGTATGTAAAAATGTAGACAATTCTGACTGCCAACCACAGACTTACCGCCAACTCAAAGCAGCGCTGGGGCTCATGCTGCAGCCTGAGCTGTTGGGCTTTTCAGTTTAAGTAGTCCATGCCTGTAGCACCTGATCCCTATTAAGATTCAAAAGTACTAAGTGGATTTGTGGCTTGGATGGTTTGTAATGTATCAATGTGCTGTAGATGTAAACACCAGCCTGTTTTACTGAGATTATTAAGGGAACAGGTATGCTAAATTTATAATCTGGTGCTGCCTGTACAGTTACGAATTATTACTACAAGATCACAGAGTTTCCCACTTTGAAGAACTAGTGTGCTATACAATAGCAAGAAGAGGCCACACTCAGGGCATGAGCCTATAGTCCAGGAGGACTCAAAGGATCCCTTGGTCCCAGAAAGGGGAGACTCTGTCTCTTAACAAGTCAATGAATTACCAGAAAAGGAGAACGAATGAGTACATCTACAGTAGCTCTACAGTTAAAGGTATTCTGAGACTTGTGTGTGTGTGTGTGTGTGTGTGTTGAGACAATCTCCAGATGCAGCCCTGACTGGCCTGGAAGGCAGAACAATCCTCCTCGGGTTTTGGCCCCCTAAGTGCTAGAATTACAGGCATGCCTGCATGTTTGTTTATTGTACATATGTGTATTATTTGTCAGAGTTAAGTGTTTTAGTAAGTCTTTTTTAATCTTTTGTATACTAAATTTTAAATTATATATAAAGACAAATAATGGAACCATTATTGTTTATTTCCAAATTGCATGTCCATTTTTGATGGTATTATTTTTCATGTTTGTATAAGAATGATAAATATGATATGGAAATAACATATAAATAAAAAGTCTTGGAGACAGTTAGGGTAGAAATATTTAAAAATTACAAACCTTGTATGTGTTGAGACTCCATTTTCTAACAAGTTCTAATTTTTCCATTGCAGGATTTTTAATTTCATCTGCTAGAATAACTGCTCCACCTTTTGTGTGTGTTCTCTGGCCACCTGCATGATCATAACAAAAGACAAAAGCAAAATCCAGATAAACTCAGGGCATGAGAGAAAAAAATGAAACCTGATGCCATTCACCTGAACTACGTAATCACAGACCACAGCGAAGGTTCCTACTGCATGAAGGAGGAGAGCCTCCAGAACCACGTGGGATGATTTCCTAATCACTTACAAATGTTTCTGTCCATTAAACAAACATGTGGTTTGTCTAACTTTAGGAAACAAATTCTGCTCCAAACTTACCTTAAAAAAACAAAAACAGCGAATGTCTGGCTGGTCTGAGGGGATGCTTACTCTATAGAGGGCCTCTATACCAGCGCCTGGCGCACGCTCAGATCCCTATACCAGCGCCGGGCGGACATTCAGATCCCTAGCACCACGGCTGGGTGTGTGTGGTGGTGCAGGTTATTAACCTTAACACATATGGTGGTGAGGGGCTCAGCCAGCCTAGCTGATGTGATGAGCTCCAGGCTTAGCAAAAGACACTGAAGGGTGATGGTGTAAGACAATCACAGCTGACTTTTGGGCTACACATGCACATATATGTGCACACACACACACGGTGAGTATAAATTTTCTTCTCCCACTTCTTCCAATAGCCAAATTGCTTTTAGTATAGCTTTATCATAGACCTAAGAATCAGAGCAATGCAAAAATAAAAAAAATGTGTGGTTTTCATGTTTTGATTTTGAATGTGTCCCCTTATATGACTCAAGTTAGCCCTGAACTCTTCAGCCTCAACCTTCCCAATGCTGAGATTACAGGCAAGTACTAGTAAATCCAGGCTATTTTCAGTATTTTGTTGCAATCTATAAACTATCTGTATGCTGAGGTTGACAAGAATACACAACCTTCCCATGTGACCCATTCTCAATAGCAACATGACTGTCAAAGCTCCCTTCCTGCTGGCAGAGGGCAGAGCTGCAAAGTCAAGAGGTTAGAATAAAGTAAGTGGACCCATACCAACCAAATAAAAGAGAGAATGAATTAAAACAAATTACATTTTACTTTGTTTTTAACCTTTAAAAATCATTAAATTTTAGGTCTGAGATGCAAACTAATTGTTTTGAAAGGACAGGCAGCAGCTAGAAAAACGATTTCCTTTATCGTTAGAGAAAGCAGCAGCAACAGTTGTAACAGCCAGAAGAGCGCACGCCTAGAAACACAGAGCAAGCAATTATGAACTGAGTTAGGCTGGCTTCAGCAGCAGAGGCCCTGAGATCTGATCAGTGAATACCTGCAGAAACAGTTAGGTCACCTCCTTGTTGAGCCAGTTGACCAGCTGCAACCCTGCTGGGAGACAGAACGGACGGCAAAGGAGGCGCTGAGGAACCTGGAAAGGGCAGACATTAAACTGTAAAATCCACTTCCTCCTCCACATGTGAGACATTTTGCACAGAGATCTACTGACAATTCCTTTAACATGGTCGAACACTGCAGTTAAGATTACAATTAATATGCCTTCTCTCCTGTGGGAAAAGACTATAGTAAGACGATGCTAGGGGCTGGGTTCTATCTAAACCTGTCACTAGCCTGTCAAAACCAAACAGACCACCGCACTATGTAAAAGAACTGGTAAGACCATATCTGAACAAGCTTCCCCGGAGTCTGGTATTTTCAAACGCTGGAGTTGAATTAATTATGGTTTAAGTTCATATCTCATAACTTCCCATCTTTCCTAGGAAGAAAAGGCTTAGGTACAGAAAGGAATACTGAAGCAGAATTTAATACTTCACTAGAATTACCGCCTTCTTAGGAACTGTCGCCAGATTCTCCCAGTCATAAACCAAGCAGGATACAGGGCAGACTGCTGCTACCTGTGCTGGGGACGCAGGCGCAGTCAGCCACCCTGAGGCCTGTGGCCAGGCACCAGGAGCTGCACAGCCACAGACACACGGGGAGTCTAGGAACTGACAAGTTCCGGGCTGGGAGAGCATGAGAAGCATTCCTGGCACTTTAAGAACACATCTGGGGCTCTCCAGGTGCACAGTGCTCTCAAGACCAGCTGGGAGACTTTCAAACAGTCGAGTCTGAGAACAAGAGGGAAGGAAGTTTTAAGTAAAATACAACCAAGCTTCAAATTCTAATTCTGGCTCTGTCTCTCACACAGTGACAGGAACACTCTGACAATTTACTTAAATCTCTGAGTCCTCTGCAGTCTTCTGAAAAGTAAAAAGCATTCTCTATCAGCAGGTCATGGTACGTGCTCTTGTGCCTGGCAGCGTGAGTTTGGTCCTGGAATCCATGCAGAAGTAGAAAGCGGATTCTCAATAACTGTCCTCTGACTTCCAGTGCACACACTGTAGCGTGCGCACCCACACACATATACATACAAAACAAGTGCAACTTTACATAAAGGAATGCTACTCACCACTGTTGCTAAGGCAACATATTAAATCAAGTTAAAGAGAGTAACCATTAAACACGAGAAATTCTTTCAATGTTTAGCTAAAAACATTTGATTTTTCTCTACTAATTTGTACATGTGTATCTGTGAGATCACAGCGGCAAATCTGCATACATGCACACAGGGCAGCTGGAAGAGCACGCGTGCAGGGGTCCTGCTCCACCACTCCTAGCTTTATATCTTCACCCAGCCTTACTCTCTCTCTGAACCTGGAGCCAAGCTTTCCGCCCGCATGCCCGAGGGATCATCTCCCCGGCACTGGCGATACAAGCATAAGAATACAAGCCTGGCTTTTCCATAGGTGCTAGAGATTCAAATTCAGATCTTCACATTTGCAAAGCAAGTGCTCTTACCCACTGAGCCTTCTCTCCAGCTCTAGCCTATTTCAAAGACTATAATAAAATATTATTTCAATTAAAATCTTCCCAGGTTTTCTGGAAAAAATTTAAATCAAATTCATTCATGACAGGAATGACTCAATATCTACTTTACATATAATTAGCAAGAAATGTACATATCCCATATACACATAAACAAGACAGCCTTCAATTGTACTAGTATGAAAATCTGCTTACCTTGAATTCTAGTATATGACAGACCTAAATAGACTACCACTATCATTTAAAGTAGAGATATATGTCTCTTTGAAGCTACTGAATTACAGAACTCGAAACTAGACTGGCTGAGCTGAGCCGCGGTGGCACACGCTTTTAATCCCAGCACTCGGGAGGCAGAGGCAGGCGGATCTCTGTGAGTTTGAGGCCAGCCTGGTCTACCAGAGCTAGTTCCAAGACAGGCTCCAAAGCTACAGAGAAATCCTGTCTTGAAAAACCAAAACCAAAACAAAAAACAAAAACCAACCAAACAAAAAAACCCCCAAAAAACCCTAGACTGGCTGATAGACATCAATTAGTCTGAACACTCACAATAAAGTTTACAAAGAATGAGGTTCAGGAGGTTAAACAGCTTCATATGGGGAAGTTCACAATCCACACACACCACAGGATCTCCACTATCAAATTAAATACTCAATCCACATGAAAGACATTTCAACAGGCTATCCAGTCCAAAAGCCACGCTATACAAAGACCATCTCTATTGTCTAAGGCACAGGGTTCCCATCATAAGGAAGCAGTAAACACAAGGAACCAACGACCAGAGTTCCGTGTCTGCTGACCCAAGAACACAGCTCTGTTGCTCTATTATTACAGTTCATTAATCTCTCAGAGAGACGACGTCACAGCACTTGACATGTGTATAACGTGTGTAGCAAGTGATATAGCTTCCACACTAAATGGCAAACGGTGTGGGACTCCAGTTGTCTGCCTCGCCTTCAGAGGTCCCTTCCATTTTCCACATTTTCAGAACTGCAAGCCTTTAGATTTGTTGTTTAAATTAGCCCTTCCAACTAAACTCAGATATCAAAGGTGCTCACTAATACCCATAAAATACTCTTAAGAATCCAACATCGTAAAGCTGGACATGGAGGTACACACCTCTATTCCTAGGACCCAGGGAGGGGCCTGATGCAGGACTGTCATTTTGGGCCACCCTGAACTACACCTGACCTGTAAGACCTTCTCTCCCAAAAGAAAAAACAGAACATAAAACTTGGTTGCTTTCTTTAATAGTTGCTGCCTTTTAAGCTGCGGCTTTTTAACTCCGCAGCTACCAGCAGCCCTGCAGGAGCTGCAGCCTGAGGAGAGCCTGTCCCTCGGACACAGACTCTTTCAAGGCTACAAAGGGAACTTATCTAGATCTCTGTCCCTCGGGAGAGCTCAGGATTCAAAGGCGGAGGTGGAACCCTGCTCCCCAGAGAGGCTGAGTAGCTGCAGCTCACTCAGCTCTCCTCCTCCCATCTCCCGGGAATCCTCCTGCTTTTCCCTCACCCCTCATAATAAACCCTTCGCCCCCGGCTCCTCCCCACAACTTCCGGTCAGGTAATTGCTGACACAGCCTCCCAACTGTAGGTGAAATTTTCTTAATCAAACACATCTTTGCATCATTAAACAAATGTTCCAGAGCATAAACAAAAGCAATACCCCTTAAAATGATATTCTACAACAAAACTTAAAAGACCTTGCTAACTGACTAAGTTTGGTGGAATTAGCCAATTTTCTCTCAACAGAAATCCTGGCAGATGCAATGATTACAACTCTAATTTAAACAAACAAACAAACAAACAAAAACTTGGGGATCAAGCATTCGTCCTTGTCAGGAACTTAGATTTACTTTTGACTATGTTGTTACCGGTCCTGCTACATTTTTGTTGTTGACCAGGTTTAAATATTTGTTGTTGTTTTTAAGCTAGACTGAGGTATAATTTTTAAACTTTAGGAACAAGTAGAAAAGTATATTATTAATTATCATGTAATAACTAGTCAGCCTTGTGTCCAGAGAGCTAACAATGACCTAATACCTCTAACGCTTCCCATGAGACTCATGTCATTCATCCCAGTGCTCATTCCTATACACGTCTTAAAACAAGGGCCCTGAAGACAACAGTGCTTTCCAGTAAGTGCTGAGCTAGTCAGTGTAAGAACACAGAACTCTCTCATGAACACGGATCAATAATGAATGCACTGCGGGTTAAAACAAGCTTTATAAACTCAGTTCTAAGAGATTAACTACTCCCATTAGCACAAAACAAACTTTCATTCCAATTTGAGTATTAGAGCATCTTTACAAGAAGTGAAACTAGGTGGCATTTTAACATTCATGTATTGCAGATTACAGTGGCCATTTCAGTCCAATTACTCTACACCCTGTTACTTACAGGGGAAAGCATGAAATCAAATGTCAGACAAAGAATTTCATTAAAAATAATGAAAATATCTACACAACACATTGTTTTTGTGATGAGACTGAACAGAGCCATGGTATCTGACAGAGACAGAGTCCGGAGTGAGGGCGGCTACAGTAGCCGTCTGCAAACAGCCAGGGGCTGTTATCTGAGTTGCTCTTCCTGAAGGACTCACAGAGCCTTTGCACAGCTTGGTCTCCAGGCAAACCTGGCAAACCAGGAGGTCTCATGTGGCCGAGAACTGCTCAGGTGGTGGTTTAGTGCGCAGAAACTGACTGGGTAAAGAAAGGCTTCTGCAGAGCTACCGACCCACCTGCTGCTGGTGCTGACCCATGAAACACCCTGAAGTGTCTCTCCTCGACCGATCTGACACATGTAGCTCAGAACACTATGTTGACATTAAAATTTGAAATTGGGGCTGGGATGTATCCTAATGTAGAGCACTTGACTCATATGTACAGGGTCCTGAGATCAACTCCCAGTATCACAAAAATTAATAAGTATCGATTGATCAAAACTTGGTGTCAAATTATGTAAAGTAAGTCAATAAGCAATCATAATTTCAGGCATTTAGTCAATCCTTTCAAAGACAGAAAACCGTGCATGAGAATGCGATGGAGAATTAACCAGAGATTGCATCTGTCTGTCGTGTGTGTGTGTGTGTGTGTGTACACCTGTGTGCGTGCGTGTGCCTGAGCACACACAAGAGCAGTGAACACTGGATGTTGTTCCTTCTTAGATCTTGTTCACTCTGTGTTTTGAGATAGGGTTCTCACTGAACTGACAAGGTGGCTGTACCTCCTGGCTCAGGAGCATGCCTGGCATTTTAGCACCGTTTCTAGAGATCAAACTGAGGTCTCCACCTTATACATTGAGCACTTTACCAACCAAACCATCTTCCTAGCCTTAAAGCTATATTTTTTATTTTAAACACACACACACACACACACATTGTGGGGGGATCAGAGGACACTTTGCAGGTGTTAGTTCTCTCGTTCTATGATGTGGGTCTCAAAAACAGTATTTAGGGTGTAAGACTTGGTGGCAAGTGTCTTTATCTGCTGAGACATTTCATTGGCCCCAAACTATTTTTTAATGAACATGTCTTGATTTTTGTTTTCAAGAGTTTTACAGATATATACTGTTAAAATACTGACATAGCTCAGGAGGCAGAGGCAGGAGGATCTCTGTGAGCTTGAGGCAACCCTGGCCAACAGAACGACAGGACAGCCAAGGTTACATAGAGAAATCCCGTCTGGTCTTGAAAAACCAAAAACTAAGGGAAATAAAAAGAAGCATTTGCTTCCTTTGTGCAACTTCCCTTTCTAACAAGGTCAGGAGGAAAGGAAAACAGCACCACTAAGCCGATTGCTCACTCCCAGCTGACAACGCTGGGTCAACCTAAAGGTCTCTTTCCAAGACCCATATATTCATGACCAAATATATTCAAAATCTAAACTGCCCTTGAATAAAGAGCTGGCCAATGATACAATAAATTTGTCAAGACAAGGAGACCTACTGTATCAAATCACAACACATTAAAAAAAATTATACACTTTACACCAAACATTAACTATAGCTACTTAATTGCAGCTCTAGATCCAAAGGTTTCGTGGTTTTCATCCACTCATTAAAAAAAAAAATTCTCAGGGAACATCACTGCAAGAGTGGGGTGGGGACCAGGGTAAAACAGAATCTTCCGGATGTGACAGGATGGGGCACTAAGGAACTCTGACAACGGTTGCCTACACAAGACCTAACCAGCACAAAGGGGAGGGGCTCACGAGCTCTAGCCCCTGGTAGGTAATGGTGCAGCGGTGGACGGTCCCATACCCACGTGTATATGGGCAGCACATTCTGGACTAAGAGCTTTAGCTCATCTGTTGGTTTATATAGAGGGGAAGCTGGGACAAGTGAGGATAAAGAGTAAAGGGAGAAGATGATCAAAACGTATTATATGCATGTATGATATGCCAAAGAATTAATGGAAGTATTACACTAAAAACCAATGAAAAAGTTAAAGACAAGGTCATGAACAAAAGATTTTCCCTTTGCATTAGAGACATATCTGCATATTCATGTGAACACACACATACTTCTCAGACTGTGTGCAGGAAAGAGTCAGCTCAGGGCAGGTCTAATTGTCTGTCCTTAAAAAGGCTGTTTACAAGACTGGCCTTTGTCCAGATGTTGAGAAGATGACTTTAAAAAACTCCTTCCAGAAGGCTTGGGCCCAGGGCCGAAGTTGTTCCTACAAACAGTGTGGTTAAGGTTGAGTGTACAGATTTCTGTTAAGTCTAGAATACTGAGGGTGCTCACAGGAAGCCTGTGTGTGGAGCCCTAACAAAAGCCCTGTATACTAAGCGCTTAATGAGCTTCCCCTAGCAGCCACACTTGGACTCTGTTGCCACATCTCGCAATGAAAGAGTTAACAGTGCCTGGCATTGGCATAGCAGACCTTGAAGCTGCTGCCCTACTGAGCACTGGTAGCCGTCCCTGTAGTAAGCCGTCCCTGTAGTAAGCCATGGTGTGAGTGCTGGCTGAGACTGAACATCAAGGTGATCTCAGAGAGCTCCTGTATGGCACACACGGGAAAACTGAAGCTCCATTTCCCCATTTCTTTTGAAATCTATAATCTGTATTTAAATAAATCAATACAGTTACAATTTCTGTGATTACAAGCTAAAAGTATCTAAGGTAATCTCTTGAAATAATTTTACAGTTTGATTTAACAATATTTTAAAATTATTATTAAAAGTATTCCTTAAGGAGTAAGCTGAAGGGGGGTGTGCGTGACTGGTAGGCTGTGTCTAGTGTGTGAGCCATAGGCTGTATCCTGGAATACTCATATAAAGACCAGGGAAATGATTCTTAAGTTATTTAAATTGAAAAGAAAGATGATTATGTTTATAATCACTTTTCATCACAGAATTTTTTGTTTGTTTACTTTTTGAGACAGGGTTTCTTTGTGTAACAGCCCTGGCTGTCCTGGAACTCACTTTGTAGGCCAGGCTAGACTCAAAACTCACAGAGATCCACCTGCCTCTGCCTCCCAAGTGCTGGGAATAAAGGTGTGCGCCACCACCGCCCAACTCTTCTACATAATTAAAGAACTCTTGTCTTCTTTAACAGAACTGGCACTTTCTGAGCCTCCCCTCCTGCATTTCAGCCATCTCTACAATATGCGGTTCTTACCTTGGGACACTCCAGCTTCCTTAGTCCCCTCGTTGGTGCTGTCAAAGCCATGAGATGTAATCTGAGTTTCTGAGAGTCCAAGTCCAGATGGTAATGAACGCTTCAAATCCTTAGTAACATTTGAATAAAAGAGAAAAAGAGCTTGGTGAAAGAGCTCACACCACACAGCATTTCAGCGTTGTGTCTGTAACTACATTTTATGATATGTTTCTCTTCCTACAGATTATCCTTAAATTGACAAGGCATTCTGTGATCAAAAACAGCAAGATTTGCTATTAGGTGGTACAATGTATGCCAAACACAACATACCTTTACACTGATCAGGTTAAGGTATCAGGACACGGAAGGTTGAAGAGGGGAATGAGGGTAAGGCAAGATGCATCTCAGTCTAACAAAGACCCTTGCAGAGGAGGCAGGAAACTCTGGGCAGTCATTATCACGTTACTGTCAAAGCAGGGAGGGCAGCCAGGAAGCTTCCAGGGCCAAAGCAGTTAAAGTCTCCACTGAGGGATGGGGGAGCAGGAATTAGGAAAAGGCCAGACAAAATAGGAAGTTTAATCCCAACTGAACTAAAAAGTGGGTTAAACAGCAGATGTGCTTGATTTGGTGAAAGAACTGCTTTGAGAATATCAATTTGGGACACAGGTAAGGACAGGTTAAGACTTACAAGTTGTGGGGCGGTGGTGGCACACACCATTAATCCCAGCCCTCGGGAGGCAGAGACAGGCGGATTTCTGTGAGTTTGAGGCCAGGCTGGTCTACAGAGTGAGTTCCAGGACAGCCAAGGTTGTTACACAGAGAAACTCTATTTTCAACCTTCCTCGCCTCAAAAGAAGTTAGAAGCTAAGGTCAAGACCAATCATAAACTAAAGTTTGAGAAGTAGAATCCCCTCCCCCAAAAGATGAAATTCAAGATTAATTAAAAGTAAAACGTGTGATGAAATTCTGCTACATATTCAGTGTCATAATAAGTAGAATAACTGTGTCTGGTATATACAACCGGCATGGGCACAACGCAAGACAGACAGGAGCAAGGTAAGTCAGTGCCAACACAGCTGATTCCCAGCAACTCTACACTGCTGCTGGAATAAAAACATTTAGCACAGGTTAAGTGACATCTGTCACAGTAACAGGATTTGAAGACAGCATTTTGAATGCTTGTTGAAGAACTTTCTAAACTCTGAGGTTTCCTTAGCCCTTAAATGTATCCACTAACTTTTTCTTGCTCCAGACACTGGCAACCCTCAGCTCATTTCCTTCAATCTTTTCCTTTGTTATCAGTGAGGAACCTGGCAACAAACACAAAGTGGAAAAAATGTAACAAATAAGACTAAGTTTACCATCCTGACACTTCTGGGGAAAAGCAATTGCTCCAAACCTATTTTGAGAATGAAAACATTTCCCGAGGGTGGACTTCTATGGAAGGTCTTCTCTGGAGACTAACCATGAGCCCGTGCCTTTCTCTGGATAAACCTGATGAATGGCTGTACTACTAGTGTCCTCAGTGTAACCCTAAGCATCTAAAGAAATACAAGATCTAAAATTACTTTTATTATAGAGACAGGACTTTGTTATTCTACCTCATGCTGGCCTTGAACCTGCAACCCTTCTACTTCACCTCTGGAGTGCTGGGACGATACCTGTGTCACTACATCTGACTTAGCATACATGGCTTGTAACTAAACACACAAGGATTGAAGCTAGTCCCACCTGGGGATATCCCTGCTTTAATACTGCTTATGACTATCCTTTTATACTCTGCTAAGCCATTTTAATAATTGAAATATTAAAATTCTTTTTGTTGTTGTTTTGTTTTTGTTTTGAGACAGGGCTTCTCTGTGTAACAGCCCCGGCTGTCCTGGAACTCGCTTTGTAGACCAGGCTGGCCTCTGCCTCCTGAGTGTTGAGTTTGCCACTACCACCCGGCTAAAAGTCATCTTTAAGATTTTCCCCAGATCCTAACTCCCTAAGAACAGAAAACTAAATATGCCTTAATAGACTTCCTACTGGTTTTATGGCATCTGTAGCTGTATATAAACCTAAACTCTTCCCTTACTGTAGTGATTATCTGCTTTACTTTTAGGATCTCTGCTTAGTTTTGAAAAACCCTGTTCTATTTATTCAACCTTAAATCTCGTAACTTTCTAGCTAGACCAGTTACTGAGTGATTTATCTCAGTACATTAAGTGGATGGAGCAAGCCTGGGAACAGCTTCTTAATCCCACAGTCCTCAGCCTAGGCATTTCACCACACTAGTGTCTTCACTGGCATTACAACAAGGTGTGTCTTAAGTGATTTGTTACCAATAGTGACTAAAACAAAGACATCAACTTCTCTGTAAAGAATGCTATAGTGAGGGAGGGCCGAGGTGATCTCTGCATTATAAGATGTTCTCCAGACTGAGAACACAGGTGGGACCTCAGAAGGAAAACACAACTGTTTAGCACTTTGGTTGTTAGTAAAGAGTTAGTTCTGATTCCAAGTGGATTCATTACTTTAAAAAACAAGAGCAATAATCAATTGGATGCAATGGCTGCAACATTTGTTCTGAGGTCCGCTCAGATCATCCTGAGCGAAACCTGGCTCAGTCACTTAATGACCACGTGGTCCCAGACAGCTTCTCTAACTTGTTGAGTTTCTTTATTATAAAATGGAGATAACTGAGGGTTAACAATGCTTACCTCGCAGACAACACACAAAGAGTGCGTAGGACAACACCCTCTCGTATTAATTTATAAACAGAACTCTGTTGAATGTTTGAAGTGGGATCAATAGAAGATTATGTAAATTTTCATATGATTTAGGATGAGTGATTATTACTTTAGGAATGACAAAGACAGGAGAAGACTCCAAAGTCATTAGTGCATCTCCTTACCATCTCCACAAACATGGAATTATAAGCACTCATCCTTGACCCATCATTAGGTAACACACTCAACAATGCCATCTTAATTATATTAAGGCATGCCTATACTTTAAAACTACCATACAATTAACTTCTAATATTCACCGACTCTACATAAGACACCTACAAAGAACTGCTAAGTCTGACCTTGAAGTCCTATAATGTGACCCTCTAGATGGGTATGGTGCACATGCTTGTGAAACCCAGCTACCTGGGAGTCAGAAACAGGGCACACTTGAGTCCAGGAGCTGAGTGGCAAGAACACATCTCAAAGACAAGATAATAAATGAAAGTATGCATCTAAAACATAAGATGGTAATATATGTAGCAGAAACTGCCCATTAATACAAAAATATACAACAGTCGGTCTTCAAAGGTAGAGTTTGCTTCATACTAAAAACAAGAAATGTATGAGAGCGAACAAAAGAAGAGGAAGAGGCCAGTAAGGAGATCATGAATTCAGAGTGACAGGGATGCTGTTGTAAGCAGATGTTTCCAAACAGAACTGGAAAGATGAAGTGGTCTTGCAGTCACTCAGGACTTCTGAAGATCCTCACAAGCCAGAAGCCTACATATTCCTAAGAGTACCACTCTGCACAAGTCTAAGGGACTCAAGCCCCTGACCCTTGTCGTACCCGCTGTATAGCAAATACAGCGGTTCGATGTACAAAAACTGATGTCCTCTTCCAAAGAGAAAGCAACAAACACCTTGTGTAGCAAGAGAAAAGTATGGGTCTTCCATCTGGTTCCCTATGCCCCAGATTTGCAGTTAAAATCATTTCTGAGGCACATGTGGGGTCAGGCAGTGACAAAGGATGTAAGTGCCTTTCCTCTCCCCCCTATCCTCCTCTCCTAGCACTGGGGACAGAAACCAGGGTCCTGCATCTGTGATACACAAATCTTCTGCCTCTGAGCTATACCCCCTACGTGTTTCAGAAATCCTTTCTTTATATTTTCCCTTACCCATACAATATAGGACTAAAATTTAAAGACTCAGAACTCGCTTTTTTATTTATTATAATTTCTGTTTTGACATCCCCATTTAATTTTACACAAGCCACCCTGCTTTATCCACGGTGTTTCCACAGTTTCCCTATTTTTTTCATGGCTGTCACCGGCTGTCACCTTGCATAAGTCATAACGACTTTTTAGACACACATCTTCCAATGAAGATAAGCTCTCCTTAGGAAGAATATGAGGACTTAAAAACTGAACATATTCAAATGTCACTGGTGTTTAATCTCAACTATCACCTTGATAGGATTTAGAGTTACCACAGAAATAAACCTCTGGGCATGTCTTCCAGGGGGTTCCTAGATTTGCTCACTGAGGTGTGAAGACTCACAGGTAAGGCTGGTGGCATCATTCTGTGGCTGGGGTCTATAGTGAACAAAAAGGGTTAATGAGCTGACCACCAGCGTCCATTGCTTCCAGCTTCCTGGCCGTAAGTGCAATGCAGGCAGCTGCCTCAAGTCTCTGCTGCATGATTTCTCCGTGCTGACAGACGGTACCCTCAAACTGTGAGCCAAAACAAATGCTTTCCTCTTAAATGAAGTAACTAAGAGGAGTGGTCTACAGATTGTAGACGGGCACACAGCTGACCTGACCTGAAAGATTAGCCTCGTGAATCATTTTCTTATAAAAGAACAATGTGTGAATTCTTACGGAGCGATAGCACGTAGAGTGTGGGTGTGAGTGAAGGACTAAGCAGACACGATAGCTGTCTCCGATTATATACACTTCTAAGTGATGGAAACACCGTCTACCGTACTACTGATGGCCTCCAGCCTGGCAATGTTAGTACTTCATGGTGGCCAAGGTTCCTTGGCTCAACAAGCAGCAATCCTTCAGGAAGCAAAGCTCCTGTCATTACAGAAAAAAGCACAACATCGGAACTGGAGTGGTGTAAAGTCCCGAAAAGGAAACCAGCAGCGTGACGGTACAGAACAATCCAGGATGGAGGAGAGGAGTGGATAACTCGTGAGTAATACTCAAAGTCTGCGTGTGTTAACTTGTCTATTTGGGGGGTGTTAAACTTCCTAAAGTAAGACAATATAGCCTCACAGTGCACAGAATTTTCTAAAGTATCATCCTCACATAACTTGCCAGGTTTTTTTGTGCTCGAATGTAAGGTATTGCATAGCTTAGTAAATTGTTGAATATATGCTACTGCATTTACTCTATATCTTACAAAGTCTAATTCA